CTGCACACTCCTTAAGGTTTACAAATATCTTAATTGGGCAACTAATTGTCTCACAAAAAGCATTTTTCCACTATGCAAAGAGGCAGCACAGTGATTTTAATAAATATTTACAACTAAAATTAAAGTCTCTTACATATCATCAAAGGAGGAACAAGATGACCAAAGGACACATACTTCACAGAGGTCACTGCCACGTGTCCTAACACATCAGCCTGGACGTTTAAGTAATTCATTATTTAATAGCTAGCTGACTAGTTCAACAGAGACGCCCTCTGATCATACAGCAGGGAGGATACACGTCCTCATAGATACCAGTTCTTCAGGAATTTCTCTGTCTCTGGAAGTGCTTATAGAATCACAGAATGGTTTGGGTGGAAATGGACTTTAGATATCATCTAGTTCCAGCTCCCCTGCCATGGGCAGGGACACCTCCCACTAGCCCAGGTTGCTCAAAGCCTCATCCCTTACGTAAAACCAAATCTATCTGTCGGCACAACTAGCCTTGGGGGTGGAACAGGAGACCCGGAGGCCACCAGCCTTCCCTGTGCTCATGTCCCCCTCTGGGGTGTGCCTAGCCCAGGGTGGTACATGCTCAGCACATCTTTAGGTTGACCCAGAGATGAATAATTTGGTTGACATATTTGCCACATAGGACATTCAATTGTGCACACACTGGGTAGGAGTGAAACAGTAGAAAGGGCTCTCCCAGGAAAAATATGGTCACCCCCATCTCCAGCCCCAAGAGCATCAGCCATCCCCGCCATCAAGCCACAAATCAGAGCCATGCAGCCAGAGAATGAAGTAAAATAACCCCCTGCAATCACAACTCACTTCACTGCACAACACTGCCTCCAGGGGGAAGATGAAAAGAGAATAAGCCAGACGTGACAGATGTTACATCTCGTACTGTACCAATACTGATTTCAGGGAGATAAAGACAGCATAAGAACCATACTGAACAGAGCAGACCATACATCACCCAAAGCCTTATTCTTCCTGCTTTGAATACAAGATTTAAGGCAGAGGAAAAGATCACTTAGAAAGACTAACACACTTTCTTGATCCACCTCTCTTTTTTGCTTGCCATGAGCCCATCTTACTGGGGCGGGGGGGGGGGGGTTGCTTCTGTTTTAACACCTTCTGCCTTCAGATTCCCCACGACATGCGCACACACACAGAAAAACCATCCTGCCTTTCAGTAGCATTTGCCCAGGGTTGGTTTTATGGATGACAGGGCTTTTATAGGGCAAAGATTCAACATTTGAGCCTTCATTTCCACTATTCAGTGACCTACTTAATGGAGATGCGGTGGGGAGAGGGCTGCTAGGGGATTACTTCAGGTTTATGTAAGATAATCAGGACATAAATCTGTGCCTTTCCTGCCAAAAGTACAAAATGTCAAGGGAAAAAATATTGCTTCTAAGCAAGTAGAATGCAGAGTACGCCAAGAGACTGGCACATCCCTTGCACCGCCACGCAACCCCTTCCAATTTGCTGGAGGGACAGAGGATTCCAAACCATCTCCTTCCTTCCTCTTGAGGTGATACAGCCTCACATCAGGAATAGAGAATTCTCCCCCAAACCAGCAGACTCACAGCACAATATGAATATATTCATGCAAGTGCTGGCATTTGGTAAACGTGTTTGTGCCTAGGCCTTATGTTCATAATTACTACAGCGGTAATGAATCTTGATGAATCAGTAATGACCTTCAAATGCACACTGAAGCTATTTCAGCCTCCACTTAATCGGGTAATGAAGTCATACAGATAGGCAGAATTTCTTTTAAGATGCTAAATAAGGCTGATCCCAAACGCTAGTTTTTCTTCCCCCCTTCCTGATTTTCTTCAGTGTTACACGACAGTAAATTTAAGAGCTGACATAATTCATCACTGCCTGCAGAAATTGTGACGAGCTTATAGGTATGGCCATCTAACGGATGTTTCCAATAAATCCCATCAATTTCCCAAATCATTCCCCAGCAAGTACAGATAATAGAGAGGTTATTGTCTGACAGATGGGCAATGCATGGCTGCACAAATGTCACCGTCCACTTCACCCTGGCAAGGAGGTAACAAACTTTGCATGCAACTGCCATCCATCACGCCAAACTCAGCTCTTACCCTACAATAATCCTCTCAGTTCATTACCAGTTAGGAAGGTGTGCATTAATCGGCTTGAAGGACATGTTTCTCTTGGCTAAGAGACAGGCTGTTCCCTTGCCCATGAATCTGTTGGTTAGTGCTTCTATTCCTACAGTCTTCATGGGATAATTGAGGTGGGAAGGGGGCTCAGAAGGTCTCTAGTCCAAGCCCTAGCATGACCAGGTGCAAGGTCAGACCAGGCTGCTCACGGCTTTATCAGGTCTTCAAAACATGCCAGGATGGAGATCCCACAATGGCTCTTTCCTGCTCCAATGTTCTCATGGGGAAAAAGTTATTCCTCATATCCAGTCTGAACTTCTCACTTCAACTCATGCCCATTGCCTCTCACCTTCCCAGCATACACTGCTGAGAAGAGCCTGGCTCCATCCTCTTGAGGCACCCCTTATAGGCAAGGGAGAGTTGCTGTTTGGTGCCCCAGGGTTGGACAAGCCCCCTTCCCCCTGACGCTCTTGACCATCTTCACGGCTTCTGCTGGGCTCGCCCAAGTTTATCTAAGCCTCTTCCTGCATCGAGGGTTCAAAACTGGACATGGTGTCCACTGGCCTCCATTGCTGCTGCTCATATCCACTCTCTGCCTACTGGGACTCCGCAGAGCCGCTCCCTGGACAGGCATCCCTAACTTGTTCCACTGCAAGGCAACAGACCTCCACAACCACCTCCCCCAAGCTCCTTGCATTGCTCCAGTATAGCCATTCTGAAGTTAACTAGAAGTCCACAGAATTGCACAAAATCGTCTCAAGAGTGTATATAAAATTAGTGGCTTCCTCCTGTCTCTCAAGGTTTGCGTGTGTGTGCATGAAGTTCTGGGGCGGGACGCAGCAAAGGTGAACTGTGTAAATGCTGGCTGCTTGTTCACTTAGGGACACACAAACTTTGACTCTCTATTGGTGAACTCAACTCTGAGTCTCATTTTCCAAACACATCTTATGCCCAGTCCACCTCTCCAAACTATGCTTCACCACTTTGGCTATGAAGATGCTCCAAAAGACTGTGCTGAACGCTTTACTAGAGTCAAGGCAAACAGCTTTCCTTTCCCTCCCCTCGCCCACAGAGACGTTCTTTTTACCGCAACCAGGTTGGGTCAGGCACAATTCGCTTCTGATAATCCCTGATGGTTGTTTCCAGTCACCTCCAGGTCTTTCACATAGATTGACATGGCTTCTAGGAGAACATGACCCCTCTACATCCCCTTCACCTCCCTCTTGCCTTCTTGGAAGATGGGCTAAAATTTCATTTTTTCCAGTCTTTGTTGGATCTCCTTGGGTCACCATGACTTTTCAAAGATAATAAAGTGGCCTTGAAGTGACACTGGTCATTTCCCTTAGATACCTCCTGTCCAGTCCATGGGTTTATATATATATGTCCATTTTGCTTAAGTGGCCCCATAACTCAATCACATGGCTTTCCTTCCCAGGCTCCTGTCCAAACCCCAGGTCAACCCTGTCTCATCTCCCTGTTGTACATAACATTCTTCATGAAACCCTTTAAGTGGGCAAACCTTCCAGACTCTTGTGAGAAGCAAAGCAGCACTCAAGCAAGATCCATGGTACCAGTATCTACTGAAGATGGAGGGCAGGCTCATGTACTAAAATCTAAATAATTTATCACAGAAGCTGCAAGAGAGATTGTGTCGATGTGACACGTACTTGCAAACTGTTACTGATGATGTGAAATCTGGAGAATAGAACCATGGATATACTCTTGGAAGTAAAAGCCTGCATTTCATCTTTTTGAAAAAGTAGAAAGCATATACTGGAATGTGTTTGGTAAAAAGGGGTCAGAAGTTGTCTATTAAACATTTTCATTCCAGGCTATTAAAATGTTTTCCAGTGTGTTCTTTGTTGTCTTGCTTCTAAACAGCATGCACCACGTGCCTTACCCCAGTGAATAACAAGCACAATCTGAGGAATGCTTCATACAAAAGACAGGGTGGATAGCAGATACAATACTGACACTATTTGCCTCTGCATTTTAACATAGTGATCTGAAAACAGAATTTTTTTTTAATCCTTTTTCTGTAGAAATCACCTTTTTTATTTTTTTTTTTTTTTGGTTCTAACTAATTTTTGTCAGGAAAAAATTCTGCATTCAGAATGTTTTCTAGTTCATTTTATTAACAAAGACTATCTCAGCTGGTAAAGTTAACTATTTGGGGTAAAAGTCTATGAAATCGATTGGTTACAAACCAGCTATTTGCAACAAGCTACAGAAAAGCAGGCCATTACTACTGTGTTACATTTTCCTGTTCCACAGTACAAGATATTTACTACCAGTCAAAGTAACAGCCAAGACTCTAGCTCATCAAAGAGAGAGAAACATTTCAGTCACGGACCTGGAAACAGACATAATATCTACCTTAAACTTTTTGCCTGTTGGGAATAACATGATTCACCAACACGCAATCTTTAAGAAAACGGAGTTCCTTCCTCCATACTTGGCACTCGCTGCTCCATCAGAGCAGCTGGATGGATTTGGTTTGGTTAACACAACACCCTCCTGTTTCTCCTTGTAATTACCTACAAGCTATTTTCTCATGACTCCGGATACCTTAAACAAAGGTCAAACTCCTTTTAGAGAAGCAACAACTTTTCTGACAGTAAAAGAGGACACGTCTGGGTAAACCAGATACTTGTGAGTTCTTGGGAGAACGCACCACATGCCACTTATTTAGGTTTTTCTGTCCTTTAACCAAAGCAACTCAGCCCCTGATCTAGGGTCTCCTTGGAGATCCTCACGGTGAGAAGCGCTCTGTGTATGCACCTTTTTCCCCTGAGTAAAGGGAAGCCATAGCTTGGCTATATCAAATAAAACCAACATCAAAGAAAGCCTCCTTACCTGTACTGCTGGAGATGTTGACATCAATGCTGATATCCGAGATGCCACCTCCCTTCAGAGAAGCAACGCACGTGTACGTCCCAAAGTCTGTGAATTTCAAGTCAATAATGTCCAAGTTGGTGGTGCCCGGTGAAACGTCCGGGTCAGTCTGTGTGATGACCATCCTTTCAGAGCTCCGCAAGGGGCGTCCATTCTTAAACCAGCTGAACGTAAGCTCTTCAGAAGGGATGGCTTCCACCTGGCAGGAGATTTTCACCTCTCGCCCAATCTGGATGTTGTCGTCTTTATGATATGGGTCAGGGGTGATCCAAAAACGTCCTTTTTTTAAGGCTGAAATATGACCCAAAAAAAAAAGTTTACCATAATAAAGCACAAGTTTTCCATATTCAGACTTTGCAAAGACTTATGCTCATGCTTCACTTTATGCCTACATAGGATTCTAGTGGGACCTGCAGTGATAGAACAAGGGGTAATGGTTTTAAACGAAAAGAGGGAAGATTCAGACTAGATATAAGGAAGAAATTTTTTAGAATCGGGGTGGTGAGGCACTGGCCAGGTTGCCCAGAGAGGCTGTAGATGCCCCATCCCTGGAAACATTCAGGGTCAGGTTGGATGGGGCTCTAGAGCAACTTGATCCAGTTGAAGATGTCCCTGCTCATGGCAGGGGGGTTGGACTGGCTGGCAATCAGTCTCTTCCAACCCAAACTGTTCTGTGATTCTGTAATTCTATGATGCTTGGGAAGTCACTGATGCTTCCAATGCACGCATTTAGCACATGGGTTAATTTTTTTGTAGGATCAAATCTTAATCAAATATCATCACAGAGTGTACATTGCTAAAGCACTTGTCATTTCCAAAATGAAAAATAAGAAGTCACAGCACCTAAATTAGGCTGAGCTGCTGACAACTGAAGAGTAATCAAAATAATTCATGAACCTTCAGTGTTTGCTATCCATCTCTGGAGATATTTACAAGCCCTTCCTCACCCCCACGCTATCAGAACACTGAGAGAAGAAAAAACAGAGATATCAACCTAACATCTTTAATACAACCAGCAGTGTCATCTCCAATCTATTCACCAACAGACAGACATGCAAAACAGCTTTGTGCCAGCTGGTTAAATGAGAAGAGGTGAGCGTATGCCTGAGGCTATAGCCTGCCCTGCTTTCACACTCTGCTCCTTCCCTGTGGCAGTCTGGAGGGATCCCTCCATCCCAGAGGCAGGCTGCCCTACCCTGCCTAACGGCAGAGCCGTGGCGACCAACTGCCCTGCCGTGTTCAGGTGGGATACTGCTGCCAGCTCTACAAAGTAAGGGGGCTGAAAGTACATCTTTAGGCAATGGTCAATGGGAAAAGACGAAAAGATGCTCTTCTAGATGATCTCTAGGTTGCCCAGGGAAGTGGTAGATGCCCTGTCCCTGGAAACATTCAAGGTCAGGTTGGATGGGGCTCTGGGCAACCTGGTCTAGTGGAAGATGTCCCTGCTTACTGCAGGGGGTTGGACTAGATGACCTCCATGGTCCCTTCCAACTCAAACTGTTCTATGACTCTATGATGCTGAGATGTAACCACGCAGGAGAGCCCACCACAAGCTCTTCCCTGGCTGGGTGTTGTCAGATGAGGAAAACCCATCCCACACCCTCAGGAGCAACCTGAGGCTGAAGGTTGAACACACAACTGAGAGAAGAACATTGCCACTTAGAAAGGCACAGTGTATCCCAAGGATCTCTATCTGCATCCAAGACTATTTAAGCCTGCAATACAAATTCAATCAATTCTCCAACCCACAGCAAAGCAGAGATAAGATAGTCTCAGCATTTCAAATGGGAACCCCCAAGACAGATGAGTTTTCTGAGGCCACCTCAAAGGCAGGCTCAGTGTTCAGGAGTGCCCTACACCCACACAGGGGCACAGCCACTCCAGAAAACACTACCACCATCTTCCTGGCCCGACCAGTATCTTCTACTGGCATTCCCTCATCAATCTACTGCACAGGAGCAAAATAATACTGCAACTCATTTATCTGATTTTTTTCTTGTCACTCCTTAAACGAGCATAAAACTATCCAGAAACCATCACCATTTACATCAATAAAGTGATTGCTATAAAGCGGCGTTGGGATGATACTTATTTTTGGAAGAGTGCTTCAGAACCAGCCATTAAGTCATTCAAATACACATATATTTTGATATACTGAATATAAAATGCTACTTCTACAATCCCAAGATCCCTCTCCCCCATATACCTGTGCATAAGTATGTACGTACGTTTATATGTGCTGTCTCCAACTGGAAAGTCCCACAATGAAAATATCAGTTAGAAATGTTACAAGCAAATACCCAGGTTGAATACATGCACTGGAAGACAAGTATTTAAATCCCCAATTTCTTGTCATCATGCTGACTTCTACAGAAAAGTTCTCCAAGTTTCCCTGTTTTCCCTTCCCACCCTGGATTCTGTACTTTGGGTAATACGTACTTTCCAGTTTTTTAATGGAAATAGATGTATGAGGCACCAAGCACGCTAAGAAAGCACAGTGCTTTGGTTCCTTACAAGTGGTAAAAATGCTAATTCAGACTCTATTTTGTCAGCTCAGTAGCTCCTTGAACAAAACAACTCTTTGGAGCTTGCAAATGCCATGCCGAATTAGCAACTTTGAAAAGAATTAACATTTAATTAATCATTAGGGGTTTTTTTTAATGTGGGAAAAGGAGCACAAAATCTGGCTACTTGTGGACAACTCCTCACAGATGGTGTGAGAAACTTTTGTTGAGAAAGGTAGCCCTTTAATGAGAGAATGAAAAAATTGTTACATTTGTTGTACTGATCGGGTACGGTGTGAAAGAAGTTTGTCTGGGTGCTGCTATTTAGTTGTACTTGTGTATTCAAGAATCCACGTGGCTTATGTGTCTAAGAATTTATTACTATTTAATTTATTTAAGAAAGCTTTGTGAGTTTTATCAAGATTAATTTTGCACAAAAATGCACTGGTGTCATGGTTTAACCCCAGCCAGCAAAAGCCCCACTCAGCCGCTCACTCACTCCACGTCAGTGGAATGGGGCAGAGACACGGAAGGGTAAAAGTGAGGAAAACTGTGGGCTGAGATAAAGTCAGTTTAATGGGAAAAGCAGAAGCTGTGCATGCAAGAAAAAACAAACCAAGGAATTCATTCACCGCTTCCCATGGCAGGCAGGTGTTCAGCCATCCCCGGGACAGCCAGGCTCCATCAAGCATAACGGTGACTTGGGAACGCAAACACCATCGCTTCAAACTTGTTCCCCGTTCCTTCTTCTTCCCCCAGCTTTATATGCTGAGCCTGACATGTCATGGTCTGGAACATCCCTTGGGTCAGGATATATCCCACTGCTCACTGGTGGGGTGGGGTGAGGAGCAGCAAAGCCCTTGGCTCTGTGTGAGCCCTGCTCTGCGATAGCTAAGACATTCCTGTGTTACCAGCACTGTTTCCAGCACAATACAAACCATAGCTCCATACCAGCTCCTACAAAGAAAATTAACTCTATCCCAGCCAAAACCAGCACCTAATCTTTACTGAGCAGCTCTCATTCCCTTTTAGAGCTGCAGCCAGTTCCCCAGGAAACAGAATGAACACATGCTTTGATTCAAAAGGAGGAACGACATGTTGTATGACAGTTGAAAACTGTCACAGCAAGTAACTTTGAAACACAAGCTGAACCTTTTGTTTGAAAATGGAAGCACAAACAATGCTTACATATACAAAAACCAGTAAATATCTTATGCAAATGAATTTCAGGCAGATAAAAATAAAAGAATAACTCATGATAGGCATGATGAGCAGCACATTTCGAACAGAATTAGTTGCTAATAACTTCAATAAACTGTTTATTTCTGAATTTTTCTCCTTTGCTTTGAGTGCTCATACAGACCATTTCAGCAGTTTCTCACTCCTGTAAAGGAACAACAAGGTCTAATCGAAAAGTCACATTAACTTTCATCTGTCCTTTGTTATGGCTGGTGTGACAATACCCTCTGCAAGCTAAGATGAGGGGGGGACAGCACCTCAAACTTTGAGCCATAAGCCACTTACTTCATGGGCCAGGAAGGGCTTCACTCTCTGGCTCATGGACTAAGTCACAAAAACAACTAAGTTTTGTGGCTGTTGCTTGTTGGTTTGGTTTTATGCAGGCTGAGCATTAGGTACGAGAAATAACTGGGCTGGATCATCCACTGTCCTGATCTCCTATAGCACTCTAACCACCGAAGAACTGTGCAGAGCATACACCTCAACATACAGCTGAGCCAAGTATTTTTCTGTACATCCAAATATAAAGGGTTCAGAGGAGGGCTGTGACTCAGTGCGCTATATGGAAAAAGTTAAGGGTGTTTCCAGAAATTCTGAAGTGCACGAAAAACTTTCTTTGCTCTATTCCCCCAACGAAGCCTCTTAACACCTCTTAACCCATGTGAACGCACACACTATATTAATCAGTAACAGCCATGAAATCCTCACATCAAATAATCCAACAATTCTGTAACTACAACCTATGATTGAAAGTCAACGTCCTGTTTTCATAACCCCATTCTCCAAGACTCCACAAACTTCATAGCTATATATCTTCTCTTACCAACAAATTCAGCAAAAAATTGACTTCAAAATACAGTGTCTATTCAGAGTTAATCAATATTATTAAACAAACTGTATCTGTAAATCCCTAATCTCACCTGGCACCAGAACAAACACAGCGACCTCCGTATCTGGGAATTTCTCATGTGCCACCAAAGCACATGAAAACCACCATCCATACCTGGAAGATGTCCCCAAGAAACCACCCACAGGTGTCCCAAGACATCTGATAGCTGCCAGCACGTGGGGCTAGAGGGTGGTGGGAGCAGCATGGGGCCACGACAGGCACACATGCTTCTCTCTGACCTTGGATCCAGGACTACAGCCAGAACTGTCCCAGATGCGACAGTGCCGAGTTGCCCAACATTTGGCCCAGAAGCAGCCCAAAAACTAGAGTGTGCCCCATTGGAATTCCTGGTGGGCTTTCTCCATAATCCATTTCCAAGGATGGAAAGCACTGCAAGACGCATACTGCCACCACCCCTTCCCCAAATCCTGAAAACGGTAGAGGCAGCTACGGTGCTACAGCACCTTAGGAGCTGAAGCTCTTTGTAGGAAAAGGAAATTGAACGTGAATCTCCCACTCCAGGCTGATGAGACTCCAAATCACTTCACATACTGGAAGCTTCCTGACCTATGAGGTCAGACACCCTCCTGAGAAGAGGAACCTCTCAGTTACACCACGATGGAGAAGAGGACTGTGTAAGCTGGAGTTTAGGGCACTCT